TATTCATGAAAATTTATCGAATAAATTAAATTTGCCAGTCGTAAGTAAAGAAAAAATAAATTTACACACCTTTGGTAATAATACTGCAGTGAACACTACAAGATGTAGGGTTAAATTCCTGTTATGTAATATCGAGAACGAAAGTAAAAGTTTGACTATTGAAGCATTAGAATCCCCAGAAATGTCCAATGCTATAACAGAAATTCCTAGCCAAGAATCGAATGACCAGATCCAATCTTTAAATATTAAATTATCTGATTATGAAGATGGTGAAAGTAATCATCATAAAATTGACATTCTAATTGGATCAGATTATTTTTGAGAAATAGTTTCTGGTAAAACAAAACGTTTACGTTCATCGATGATGTTAATAGATACACTGATGGGATGGTCAATTCAAGGTTCAGTTACACATTCCTCTTTAAACATAAAACTATCATCCGTTGAAGTTTTAAATGCTGTTCTTATGAAGGATTTGGATGATGAAGCATTAACGTCATCTCATTTAAAAGTGTTTTGGAAATTAGAATCCAGAGGTATCCATAATGACTTAAAAGTGTCCACTTCTGATGAAGAAGCTCTTCGAAGTTTTGAATCAAGTTTGACTTTTAAGAAGGCCGTTATGAAGTACAACTTCCTTGGAAATATTGACTGTGATAATTTGGAAAATAATCACAATAATGCTAAGAAAAGACTTGTTTCGTTGGTTCGAAGATTTTATAAGGATCCATTCTTGTATGCTGACTATAAATATGTGATAGAAGAATACTGTAAGTTGGGAATCGTAGAATCAGTAACTGAACAAAATCATACAGGTCAGAATCCGATATATTTCGAATTACAGGGTTATTTACCACATCACCCTGGAATTCGAAAGGATAAGAATACAATGAAATTGAGGATTGTTTTTTGATGCTTCATCACATCCTCCTAATGCTCCTTCGCTAAACGAATTGTTACATCCTGGACCAAACTTAAACTCAGATCTTTTAAAACTTATACTTGACACTTTACCGCGCGCTAGCGGTTCAACAGCATACGCACGTCTGACCGACCGCTCAGCCGCAGATTTTTCATGTTCCAAATAACTGTCAGGACAATCTGATAAATTGTCTAAATAAAACTCTCTAGTATCATTTTGTTTGCTCATTGTGAACGGCAATGTTTTTTTAAAAAAAGGGTGTGAAAATATGGGAGTTTATGAAGCAATGCATTTAACACAAGTGAGCAATGTACCTCAATACTAATAAGAAAATGCAGATGATATAGCAAATGGCAATTGTTTATTGTCATGGCTACCGATTGATAGGCTTTTTTTAGGCAGCCTCGAGAAAAAAGCGATTAATAGGCTATCGGTTGATAGGCGTTGCCTAAAAAAAGCCGATTAATAGGCGATCGGTCGGTAAATGTTGGTGATGAAAAGCTGATTAATAGGCTATCTGCCAGTAGGCGTTGGCGATAAAAAGTGATTAATAGGCTACTGGTCGGTAATGTGTTAAATTTCGAATTAATTGAATCGCATTTATTGCTGATATTGAGAAGGCATTTCTGCAAATTAGTTTAGTAGAGACCGATCGTGATGTTGTACAATTTTTGTGGATAGATCATTTGCCAGATAACGTATCTGATATTCAACCAAAAATTTTACGACTGACTAGAGTCCTGTTTGGTATTGCTTCCAGTCCATTTCTTTCAGCTGCTGTAATTAAATTCCACTTGAAGCAGTATTCCACTATGTATCCAGGTACTTGTTTGATGTTAAATGAATCAATGTATGTTGACGATTTGTTATCAGGAGCTCCGAATGAAGAAGAAGCTTTCAGAAGATTTAATGAATCAAAGCAGGAATGAAACTTTGGAAATGGAGAAGTAATTCTGTAGAGCTTGAAGACCTATGGTCTAATTATGGATTTGAAACTAGCACATCAGACGATACAGATATTTCATCAAAGGTATTGGGAATGCTATGGGATACTAAAAAGGACATTTTCTAAATTTAATGTCAAAAACCTATTAAACTTTGTTTTGAATTCTGATGATACTAAATGTACAATAATAACTGCTGGAAGAGTATTTGACCCAGTGGGTTTTCTTTCCCCCTTTACTGTCGGGCTGAAAATAATTTTCCAAGAATTGTGGAACGAGGAATTCATTGGGATGAAGAATTACCTCAAGAATTACAGGAAACCTGGAAGAACTGGTGCTCTGAAGTAGAACTCCTGAAGGAATTTTCAATTGCAAGAAAATACTTTCCAACTAATGTGGAGATGATTGGAGATACATTGCAGTTACACATATTTTGCGATGCCAGCCCTAGAGCTTACGGTGCAGTAGCGTATCTCAGATTTCAAGACGGAGAGAACATCAGTGCTAGTTTTGTGATGGCTAAAACCAGAGTTTCTCCTCTACAGAAACTGACACTACTGAGATTAGAATTAATGAGTGCAATGATTGCAGCCAGAACTGCCGATTACCTGAAAGATGTATTCATAGTGAGCAATATTTTACTTTGGTCATACTCTTCTATAACATTGCATTGGATAAAAGGAACGGTGAAGGATTGGAAACCATTTGTATCTAATAAGGTAGCTGAAATAAAGAACTATACCGATCCCCAAAACTGGAATCACTGTAAGGGATCGGATAACCCAGCCGTTATACTCACGAAAGGAAAAGGTGTTTTAAATTTAATGAAAGACACAAAGTGATGGCAAGGTCCTCCATGGTTAATGTTACCAGATTGTTTATTACCTCGAAGCAATTTGAGTGAAGTTAATTTAGAAGATTTGAAAAATGAAAGAAAACTACAGTGCAGTTTGCATGTAATGTCACACCAATACCAGAACCAGGTCTCGATATAGAAAAATATAGCAAATTGTCAAGACGAATTACAGCTTGGATAAAACGCTTTATACATAATGCGAGAAAATTTGGAGAGAAAAAAGAAGGTCCCTTAGCATCTTTAGAACTGTCAGAAGCAGAAATTTATTGGGTGAAAACTATCCAATCAAAGCATTTTGAAGAAGAAAGAAAAGAAATCAACTGCTTAATAATCAGCCAATAGCAAAGGTATTGAAACTTATTGAGTTTGATCCAGTATTAGATGAAAATAAACTGATATGCATAAAAGGAAGACTACACTTTTCAAAATATGAAATGAAAGAAAAACATCCATGGTTAATTCCCGGAGGAAACAAGTATGCAGAACTTTTAATTATGGACGCGCACAACAAGGTACTACATTCAGGGAATAGCTGACACACTGGCTGAACTACGGAGCAAATTTTGGATTTTCAGAGGAAGGCAGAACATTAAATCTGTGCTCAATAAATATTTGATATGCAAGTGTTGTAAGGTTTGCCCTGCAGTGCAAGTCAGAGCTCTGCTTCCAGCAGATTGTGTTCAAGAATTTCCTTCATTCAATGTGATTGGCATTGATTTTGCTGGCCCGTTGTTCACAAGGGAAGACAAAGAAAAGCACTGTATTTTATTATGTACGTGTGCCATTCATTAAAAAAGAATGGCATGAATTAGAAAGAATTATTATGTATGTGTGCCATTCATTTACAGTGAAAGCTTTCAAAAGAGCAAATCTAGAACTGAAGGAAATATGGAAGAAAATCAACCACTAAGAAGTTAGAGGATTTATCGGGAAAACTGTTATTCACTGGAAATTTATCATTGAAACGGGAGCCGCCTGGTGGGGCAACTTTTATGAATGTATAGTGAGAACAGTGAAAACAAGCCTCAAGAAAATAATTGGGAAGTCATCTCTTTCAACCAAAGAACTCTGAACTGTCTTAACAGAAATGAAAGCTGTGATAAATTCAAGACCGATTACGTATGTGTACAGTAATTCACAAGAGTTATCTCCTTTAAGTTCTTCGCATTTTCTTGTAGGGAAACGTTTGTTTTCTTTACTACCGGTAAAATATGATGGGAATGTTAATGGAGATAGAAATAATGTGATAAAGCGATACAACTATCGACAGAATTTGTTAGATTATTACTGGAAAAGCGAATATTTGATTAACTTAGAATCTGCAAACTGTATAACACCAACAAAGGTCAAAGGAGACTTTAAGGTGAATGATGTAGTCTTGATCGAAGACAACAAGTTGCCTAGAAATATGTGGAACTTGGGCAAAATTGTGGATATGTATACCGAACGCGACAGTAAGATACCATCGTGCAGTGTAAAACTTAAATTTGGTATAGTGAAACGACCAATACAACTTCTGTATCCATTGGAACTTTCAAAATAAGACTATATATGCTAATAAGACAATTTGAACTTTAATATTTCACTTAGAATTCTATATATTATTCTCATTATTCTTAGTATTATTAGTTATTGTTTTGTTATCTATTACTGTAGTATTTTCATTATTTTTTTATATTAATTGTAGTATTGATAATTATTATTCTAGTGATAAGTAAGTATTGTATAATATTGATTAGTTAGATTTAATTGATGAACTTGCAGTTCATGGGGGGCAGGATGTTATAAATTGACAGCTCGTGCCGTTAGGTGGCACTCAGAGCGTCTTGTCTCTGTTGATATTCTATAACTTTAGTTTTGATGGAAGGATGAAGGTGTTAAGCCTAATAATGATGAAGGCGTGTGCCTAATAATAATGCTTGTAACCATTGTATTATATTGTAAATAAAAGGTGTGTATTAATAACGAAGCAGATTATCACGTACCTCTGGAATTAATGCTCTCTGATGGTAACGGAATTAGTTACAACATCAAGTAAAAAGCTTCAGAATTTTACTCTGCAGGCCATTCAGTTAATTTAACCAATGTGATAAATGCTTGCATTATACTTTATATTACAAATTACAGTAGAAACATATAGATAACAGAAAAGGGGAATTAAAATTTGGTACATAAGAAATTGTGTAGCTATATATAGGTAACCTTATGGCTTTATATGGAATTTACATTTTTAAAATAGTTTTTAGGAATACTTCTAAATGCTTAAGGTGTGGGTTACCTCAAATCCTTAGGGCTGCCTAGACCTAATAATGATGACTTTTCATTTGGTGCTCCTTCAGCTTGTTCTAAATTTACTTTTTGGTTAAAAATTGATGATAAGTCATTCCAACTTTTCTTCCCAACATCTGCAACCTAAAAAAACACATACATTATTAAGAATTCTAAATTACAAAAATTTAAATTCAACAAAATAATTAAAAAATTTTCTGACTCCTACCATAATAAAAAAAGGAATAAATTTTCATGTTTTTTCTAATCTAAATCCATAAAACAAAAAAATTTAGATTTCCCATGCAATCATGCTGAAATTTTTTTTGCAAGCTTTAAAACAATTGAAATTAAATTAAAAAAAAAAAAAAACCCTCTTAGTTTTAACTGAACTTTACCTTAACCTTGCACTGCATTTCACAATTTGCACTTTCAAGAGATTTCTCACATTGAACAAAAACAAATTGAGTTATGTGTCTTTTTCAGACTTCTGAAAAGGTGATTTTTGTAATCATTTAAATATAAGCTTTGCTGTTATTTTAGTATATGATTTAAATACTTACTTCTGCAGAAAGTCTGTTGATACAAAATATTATAGCACCTAGAGGTGATGTTCTGATAGCACAGTACTAGAATAAAATGTTGTATAACTACAAGTAGTAATTCAATAATTACTCCTTGTAGCATTATAAAAAATGAAATTGTAACAGTTTGCTTTACCCATGTGTTTTTGGTATTTTCTTTAAGCAGTTTCACAGGTGAATTATGCTTTCCATAGCTCATATGCAAATTATTTACATTAAATAAGGTTACACTTTTTACATCTAACTTATACATATTCAGAAAAGATTATTTATTCTTTTTCATACAGACTATATTAGATTTGTCAACAACTTGTTCCAACAAGTCCAAGAATTTATTTTTGATCTCATTAAAAGGTTTAAAATATTTTTCCAACAAAAATATCGTTTCGACTGTTAAAGACATCAACTGTAACAGAGGGAAAATTCATTTATTTAGAAGGATCTCTCACCACATCAAAGAAGCCTAGTAAATTTCTTCATGCCAAGATATTTTTGCAATAATTTCTGACTTTGTTAATCACATACATCTTCATGGTTAAACTGGAGTCATGAAAAAGATTGCTCAGTAATTTATTAAAAAAGCTCATGTTTTTGCAGCTAATGTTAAATTTTACTGGATGATTAAACTGCTATAAAGTTTTTAAAAGTCCTTGCTGTTATATTATTGAGAAGCTTAATTTGAAAAACTATTTACATCTGTTTCTTCAATTCAATTCTTCAGTGCAAGCATATTGCTTACGGTATGTGTGATGCAGAACACATTAAAAAATTATACAGTATGTTTTCCAAATACCAGAAAAATGAAGACAAATTACATATGGATACATTACAAACATATACTGCCATCTATGAAACATACTGCCATAAAAAATTTAGTCCACTATCACTGCATGTTTTTCTCATTTATTCAAATATTCATTAAAATATTTACACATGTTCTTTAAGGGCAGTTTTATATTACTACTATTTAGTTCACTATCACTGCACATCATGAAAATGGGTAGTGAGAGACATTACTTGGTGACTAAAAGTAAATATGAACTTAATATGAAGAGCATAGACATATACAAAAAGAGAAAAAATTATTAAATTAATTACTGTCTACTAATATTTCCCCTAATATTACACTATCAGAATATCTCTTTATGTGCTGCAATATTCTGTATCAACAATTAGAAGAATTTAAATTTTATATATGTAACATTAAAGAAGTTTGCTTCAAAACATGAGATCCTTTTCTCCAATAAACTGGGTAAGCAACTAAATTGATAGCAGACAATATTAGCAGAAATATATTAGGGAAAAATTTTATGTTTAGATTGAAACACTTAACTGTCTAAAAAAAAACTGGAAGCTTTCAAATTTCATATTATGCCTAAAGGGGCGTTTCTTCACGTTATGTGTGTAGCCTTATTAAATATCATGTTCTTTGAATTTAAACGATAAAATTCAATTTAACAGCAATATCACAAAATATATTTAAAAGAGCATATCTTTAGAACTTCTGATACACAGTCTCGTGTGCTAGATAAAAAAAAAAAAAAAAAAAAATTTCAAGTGTTGCCATTGCTAGCTTTAAAATCGTTGAGTTTCTTAATCAAAAACTCATAAACGCTTTAGAAAATATGATGTAGATAATAAAACAAATTCCATATTTGGGCTTCCAGATGCCGATTGGGTGGAGACTTACATTATTCAAAATTTGATGGCTCTAGGTACCGTTGTTTTATCACAATGCAAGAAACATACATACATTTATGCAAATTCTTAATTACTTTATTTCTTTTAAATATAATACAGGGTGATAATATTTAGTGGCAACAATTTGAAAAGTGAAATGTCACAAAATGCCAAAATGAAATTAATAGCCCTTCTGGACTAATGCCCTTTGGGCTAACAGGAGTTACTGAGTTGAAAAATTGACTAGCATTAATCATTTATAAGTTCAGATTAAAACATTGTATATGACACATAGGAACTTTAAAAAAATGTAAGTTTGAAAAAAATTACAAAAAGAAAACATTAATATGATCTATGAGCCTGTTTCTTCTTTAAAAGTAGTGACATTTCTGGCTCTGTTTTGCTCAAATTAAGTCTTAAAAGTGACTCTACAGCTAATTTGTTCCAATACATATATTTTAGAGAAATTGGTAAAATCCCATCTCACATACATAAAATGAGGCAAATAGTAATAATACTTTTAGAGGTGCATCAAACAGATATGGATATTAGTTTTAACTTTAAGCCAAAAATTGTTCAATTCAAGCTCTTTGAAAACAAATTTTAATTTTCCATCAGATGATAACTCAGCTAGTTTTCTCCTTAAATGAAATGATACATTTTTTGGTAATACGCATCGAAAGGGATTTTGGTTCCATTCAGAACCAGAAAATTCTTCTGGAAAGCAAGTATTAAGATTTAAGATCTGTTAAGTGAGTTGTTATATCTTTAATAACTGAATGAATACTTTTAGTTTCTTTTTTATAACAAAATTTTAAGTAGGAAATGCTGCAAAATTAATTTGCTTGAAGTATGAGCACCACAAATCAGTTATCTTCATAAAAGCTTTAATTTTACAATTAACTATAAATATATTTAATTGTTCTCTTCAAAGACTTAAATTCAACTCTTTTAATTTGTCAAAAATATCATTTAAGTAAGCTTATAGCCATTCTTCAACAGTTAAAAAGTGTAAAAATTTTTTGTCATCATCATTTAAAAACACAATCACTTCATCTTTATGTTCAAATAGTTTTGTTAGGAACCTAACTCTTGAAAGCCAATGTACTCTGTATGTAAAAAAAAGCTGCTGATGTTCAAAAAAAAAAAAAAAAAAAAAAAAAAAAAAAATCCTTGAGTTCAGAGGACATGTCTTTATAAAATTTATTATTTTAACTCTAATATACTGAGGCATGTTTTTCTATACAAGTACTTCTCTATTAATCATACGGTAATCCCATGCTAAACTAGGAGAGACTTGTTTAATTTGGGCTAGAAGTTTACCGTGTTTTCTTGTCATGGCACAAGTTCCATCACTGCACACCCCCACACAATGTCCCCAGGAAATATTGTTTCCTGTGATGTAAAACTTTACCAATTTAAAGATTTATTTTCTCTATAATCTTTTCTTGTTTCTTGCAAAAAAAGAATTTTTTTTAATTTCTTTTTTATTCATACCTTGCAAAACAAATTAGTTGTGCAGCAATCTGGCAATCAGTGTATTTATTCAATTGAAGATTGAAAAGTTTGCTTTTCTGAAGTCTGATTTATAGTTTGATTTCCCAATTATCTGCCATTTTGTATATTCTGTGACCAATTGTTGCATCAGTGAATGGTACTAGATTTATATGTTGCTTTTCCTTTTCATCAAACATAATGCCTATTATATCCTGGGTTGACAGAGCTATTAATTCTTCAGCAATTATATATGACTTACCAGTTTTAGCTATATTATATTATAGCACTGAGTAAGAAACATCCAATTTTTTTTTAAAAAATAATTATAAAAGCAGACAAACGTTTTGCTTACATTTCAAATGCCTGATTTCTTTTTTCAGAAAAAATTCAATGCAGTCATCTTTGGATTCTAAGTGTTTAGTGCATAGATTCCTGTGCAGTCTATTTGGTTTCAGTAACTCGTCTGACAGCATTGCCAAGTATAGAATACATCTAACCCTTGATTCATCATCTTTAATCCATTAAAAAAATATTTTATAAACTCATTTATTTGCTTTTACTTCTTTATGTCTCGACTCTGTAGAAGCAAAAGTCTGTAATATTTGGCTAATATTTGGTCAGGGTCTAAAGTTAAACAGCTGAAATCGAAGTGTTCCAGTCATTTTTCTGTAACTGTCTGTTTATATTTTAGCCACTTATCCATGAGGAAATATAAAATTTTTAATTTAAAAAGCAGTCTTTAACCCAAATATGAAGTTAAATTCAAAACTTTACATAAAACATTAATTATACTCACAAATGTGCCACATTGATTATATATAAAATTTGCATTCTCACCATTCGTGTACATGCACAACCCTTTTAAAAAGAAAGCAGTGTTACTGTCTGTCTATACTCTCAACGTTATATTTAGTATTAATGGTGGTGGTTGCTATAGCAACAGGGTTAGTATACTTCAAGTTAGAATAAGCCAAATGAATGTTTCATTGTTATTTTCTCTCTGGTGAATGCTGACCATAGGAAATAGAAAGTTTAAGAAAAGCTAATTTGTAATTAAGTGTGCAAATGGGTTAGGGCTCATTTCTATGGCAATAGGCAGTCGCACACTATTTGTCAAAAGCTGTTCTTGTGATACACATATAGTACACAATGTTGTACAAGCCATATCCAAACCATACTAGATTTTAGAACAACAATTTCAAAGAGGCAGAATCTATCTCTTAGAAGTGGTTGTTCAAAAATGAAGTTATCTTTCTAGAATTAAATCAAATTTCACATCTTAAAAGAATATTTTTCATCAAAATGTCTGTGAATGATATATTTGCATTCAGAAAAATTTATTTACAGTTTTTCATCCCCATTGCCCTGGAATTGTGACCCATAGATTGAATACCACTGCTGTAAAGAATGCAATATAATATATTAAGAAAATAAGATTTAGAATGATAATTATAAATTACCACATACCTTAGTACTAATATTTGTAACCTGGGATTGTAAGTCTTCAACTAAGCTTCCTTCTTTTACCTAGCATATTATTGAAATGCAAATAAAGTAAACCAAAATTTTACATGCAATAAATCATGCTAATTTAAAAATAAAAATTAAAGGACTTATCTAAAACCCAGAGAAATAAATAATTCATATAAAATCAAAACAATTAAAAATGTACATGCAATAATTTAAATTTTAAAAATGAAAAACCATACAAATATTTCTCTTTTCTTAAATAAAAATAATATTTACAACTGCAAATATATGAACAATGCACACATTAAAAAATAGCTAATTTAAGTTACATATTATCATAAGACAGAAATCAACTACCTTTTCATTTACAGTTTCTGACAGTTCTACTACTTTCTGTGTAGCAATAGAGCTTAATTTAACAGCCTAGGAAAAGAAAACAATAATTTTACATTTTTATGTAAGGGCAACACATGGCTATAAAATAATTTATAGTAAACTCTCCATTTCCAAGAGATTAATTATAATTTTCCTTTCAGCTAACTCCTCTTCCTTAAAATGTCAAACACAAGAGCACTTTCATTGAAAAATTTAAAGCCGGGGGGGGGGGAGGAACAAAAAATGGAAAGTATAACAGTAAGTACTGATCTCAGAATGTTTACATTAATTATATAGCTAAGGTATCAGCAAAATTGGATTCACATTACATTAATTATATAGCTAGGTATCAGCAAAATCGGATTTTCGTGAAAAGTAGTAGTATAAGTTAACTAAGAATACTCCCCAATATTGCTAATTACAAACAAACATTGATAAGGATAAAAAATAAAAAGAAATGTAGGGAGTTTTGGCTTACTGAAGCTTGAGAAAGCTCTTCAACAATCTAAGAATAAGCAAAACAACTTCAAGTAATCAAAAATTTAACTTATCAGTAAAAGTTGACATTACTTTAAAAACATTTTGATAGTCAGGGCAATCTATTACAGGTCAAATGAGTATAATTCTATTGTATGTATCTGTTTAAAAAATTTTAGGAAAAATTAGGGCTCACAGTGTGAAATTATATATTTTTTTACATATTTTCTACAATTTGATAGCAGATGAAAAGCAGCAATGTACAATTAATGCCTAGTGGTCTATCTGAAACTCATAAGATTATTTATTAGGTAATTAACAAACAGGAGGCAGAACTTATTTATTAATTTCTTACCATATTTCTATCACATAAAAATCATGATGTTTTTCTTTGCTATATCTAAAACCACACAGAAAATCACAGAAGCCTACACTGTGTGTTTTAATAACTACTGTCAGTAACTAACATAATTAGTAACTAAAAATGTAAGGGTGTCAGGAGATGTATGTTTTTTCACTTGCTTCGGAAACATACTTATCCTGAATAAGAACAGGGAACTTACTTAAGTTCTGTTCCAGATTGTGTGGAATAGACGACACAAGCAGAAAGGGTATACTGAACCCTTTATTCTCTATTACTTTACAGGTACTCCCATACTTCGGGATACAGAAACCAACCACTTGTGGTCTGAACGTAAAAATATAAAACTACTAACTAAAACTCTAACTAAGAGCTAACTTTTAATTAGTATACAAATGCCTAGCACTAAGACTGGCCTTTATTTAAAAGGATACGTATATAGTACGTCGAGCTGCTGAAACTACAATATGTTTTCAAATATCAAGCCTTAAAGGCAAAGAGCAACCGAGTGAAAACTTGTAGTGGCAAGCGATTCGCGTCCTAAATCTCCTTCTCTCTCTAACTCTTGGCAAAAAGCCACAACTTAAATACTTGGGCGTTAGCAAGCCAATTTGCATAAACAAGTTAAAGCATTTAATTCTGGCCAGAAGTAGAAAATAAGAAGTGATAGTACAGTTTTATAATAAATAAACGTTAGTAAAACTTAGGATCCTTACAAGGTTAATTAAAAAATAGTATGTAATGTATAATTTTTAATGCTTTTCTTGAATTCAGCATCCAAATCAACACTATCAACAGTTTAAAATTTTCAGAAAGTTCCTCCCCTTTCCCTCTTATTGTAAGCCTGTATAATGCAATCAGTGCTTATTTTTTAAATGCATTTACATCCAATTTACTTTTAAGATAAAATTTTGGTGGACAGATAAATTGACTACAACCCTGTAAAATGCTTGAGAACTAAAGCTATTTTACTTAGTATGAAGTCAAATACATATCACAATTTGAAATCCCTTCAATCTTAAAAATGATCTTCAAATGGCAAAAATTTTTATTTGTGCATTTAAATTCAATTTATTTGTGTTTTACAAAATTAAGAATGAATAATTAAAGCATAATTTAGACAGACCAACTAGAACTTTATAAATGTTTGAAATCTAAGGCCTCATTTCTACAATACCACAGTTTAATATGCATCTCAATTCTAAATCAGTTTAATTTTCATACACAACATCTTTAATATCAAATAATGAAGAATCTATACATATGCACGTTTGTATATGCCTGTCATTGCAGAAAAATTGAGATAGCTAGACCTATCACATTTTTAGCCCTCCACCCAAACATGTGCATCTTAAATAAGAATTTTGAATTTCATATTTGGTTTTGATTCATTTTGTATTTTATACAAATTCGGTGAATTTTTTATTAATATGCTCAGAAATTTGAAAGTAAATAGTAGCAACACTGTTCAAAATAAAGATTTTTTATATGTCCAAATTGTTGCCATTTGACCAAATGTAACATATTATAATCAACAGACTTTGCTAGTCAAAAGCAGTGTATTGCCAGTGCCTCAAATAAAACAATTTTATCTTCCATGTGCCAGTATGTTGCCATTTAGTAAAGCCTAAGATTTAACCATAAACTTTAATCAGTAACAGACCAAGCAATTTAAGATCAATAAATGCAGTTCATAAGAATAATTTTTCTAGTTTTTAACCTGATTGATTTAAATAAAAGTGCATTTAAAAAACAAGATGTCCAATTAAAGGTAAACATTTGTATAAAATTACTTTAGTTGAACTTATCTATGAAAATTTATGCATATAATCATGTTCAGCTTCAAAATTCTCATTTGATCTCATGCCCTCATGTATTTTCTATATTTTCAGTTCTATATGTCTATACAATATTGCAAAACAAGTTATAAACCTATACTTACACTTTCAGAAGCTTTAAAAGCAAATTTAGTAGCTCCAGAAGTAAAAGATGACCAACCCTAAAAATATAAATTGAAAACATATGATACACAAATATTAATATATAAACACACACATATGTAAGACATAAAATACGCAACTCAGAATTAAAACAAATTAGCAATAGCTCCATCATTCTTCATTTTAATTTACATAGCTTCCTTTCTAGGTAAAAATTGTTTATAATAATTTTTCTGTACCGAGTATTAACCTAATTTCTAGCTCTGCTTTGCAGAGATTTCTATAAAATAATGTTAAACAATTTATTCTTCCTTCCAAAGTAAATCAAAGGAAGAAACTGATTATATGAAATAAATTTTACATTTTTCAAGCCAAGATACAGTTAACTTGGCCACGAATGGACTGGAGGAGCCATTGCATTCTTAGCCACATGTAACTCTCAACTGCGGGAAAGCTCAGTTCCTTAAAAAAAACAAAAAAACTTCTTGATTAACATAAGAAAACAAAATCTACATTATCAAGTATTGTTTAAAGCAGATTGTCAAGCTGAAATTCAAGCATATTTATAATTTTGTAAAACTCATCAACTGTAAAACTATGAATACTAATCAAAACTATTTTCTACTTGAAAATTTAACATTTTTTACCCCTCTTTTAAGTTTACTTATTTAACTCAGATAAAAATTACCAAGTGATAGATCAATACAGTCAAAAGTCGTTAATTCGGACACCCAAAATCCAGAATGATCTATAATCCGGACTTCAAAGCTACAAACTTCCTGCGCATGCAAAGCGTTGACGCATGCGCATAAGCGTTTACGTGTGCGCGTAAGACCTTTACTTTACGGCTGCGAATATGCGTGTGCGCATGCGCATAATACGTTTACGCATGTGCCTTTAATGTATAACGGACGGTATAAGCTAAGCTAAAATTATTTAATTCAGTTAATGTTTCAGATTGCGTTGTTCCTTAATCTTCGAATTGGATCCGGCTTATTATTTTTTGCAGACTGTTAGAGCAATTTTATAAAAGTAAGCTTGAACTTTCGATTATGTCAAATAGAATTTTCGATATATATTTACTAATATGTAAAGAATCTACAAAGCGAAAGTATGTTTCGAAGTCCATTAAACAGCAAGTGGAATTGCTGCAAAAAAAAAAAAAAAGGATAAAGGCATATCCTTTGATGATCTAATCATTCCGAAATATGTTTATCAATTTCACGCTGCTCTGCGGGGGGAGGGAAATGATGCGGCACGCTATGAATTGGAAGTTGATCTGCCAGCACTATCCTTATCTTCAGGGCAGATGTTTTTATTTTATTTGGCTTATAATTCCTTACTAAATGTAGTATTTCATCTCGATGTACTCAGTCTTTGATATGATTTAAATCAAGTTCCTCGTCATTATAATTCGCTTCCGATAGTGAAGAAAGTGACGTAGACGTTATTGAAAACAAAAAATTTTGATTGACAAATTAGTCGGTATTCTCGACTCAGCAATTATAGGACTTGAACAGCGGAACTTTGTAACTAAACAAGAAATTATGTCTGTTTGATAGAATTAAAGAGAAAGTATTATCACAGGAAACGAAGGAACTTAAACAACTTACATTGAAAGAAATGTTTAATAAAGTAAACAAATAAATATTAAGCTTTTTCTTTTTGTACATTTTGATACCCTTTAGATCATAATTGTTCTTTATTTCATAAATTACGGTTACATATTTTTAATTTTATAATTTCTGCATGCTATATTACCAGATTTAAACTGATGATCTATAATCCGGAATCGCCGAAGTCCCGACGAGTCCGGATTAACGACTTTTGACTGTATATAATTTAGTGGCTTTAAAACAAGACAATGAAATAACATCTGCACTTTTTAAGGTGTTCTGTGGTGGTTCTTTTGGTATTAGAGCCATGAAAAAATACAATTTCTCAAAGACTATTACGTTTTGAACATGTTATTAGTGACTACATAACCTTGTACTATGAGATATATACTGATACTAGAAAAGATGGTAATTAGTGAAGCTTCACATTCAAATGTAAAGCTTTATGCTTATAAAAGTGATCTGCAAGAAATTGCTACTAACTGCTGTAATTTCATATCAAATGCCTTTTCACTTTCTGTACAGTGTGTAACTTGTTAGCACAGGCTTTTTCTCTCAAAAAGGCCCCAAACCAGGAGATTTTGGCCATGAACCTTCTGAAATAATTAGACCACCTAAAAAACTTTTGATTTTACTCATGCTGCCAGGTCAGTTGGCATCTGATGATATTACATTTTCATATTCATTTGAGACAAATTTCATCACATAGTGAATGTCAGTAAATTTTTTTTTGGGAAGGGGGGAATCTAGCACTGAAAGAATCATATCATACATTGAAAGGGGGGGAGCTTGCATGAGAAAAATGAAACTCACTGATATTAGCTTAATATACCACAAGTGCTTTATAAAAAAAGATAATTAAATTAATTAAGTATTATATTTTGAGATAAAATTAATACATATCCTTGCTTTAACCTAAAAGTTAAGAGATAAATGATATATTAATGTTAGGGTAGTTATATAATATAGATATGTTTTTAAAAGAGAAATTTAAAGAGGAGTGAGGATGGTATAATCTCATATTCTGGCTAATACAGTACTTCAAGCAGTTTCTAAACCAAAATCAATTTCAGTACTTAAAACATACAAAATTTGCTACTTTAAACAAATGCAAGATATGTTGCTAATTTATCTTCAAAACATTTCCTTTCTAATTAATAAATAATTCCATTATAATAAATATTTATATTATAATTTTTGCCAAAAGTTAGTTATACTGCACAGGAATAATTAGGTTTGCAATATAAGTGACAACTTCAAAGTAGAAATTAATACAATGATTACATTTTTAGATTTACATTTTACAAATGAATCAGATATCAGGTTCTCATTTTAAACATACACTTCATTAAACTTACACTTGATAAAGAAGACCATGCCCCATCCACAAATTCTTGAGAATGACTTCTTGGTGGTGCTGCCATTGTGTAACCAAAACCAGTGTACCTTCCACCTTGGTTTGGAGGAATGTCACTATTATGATAATAAGATCCTAATGACTATTATGAGATATTAAGTTAATTGAAACTCAACATACAGAAATTTCCTTGCAGCATCTCTTTATGCAATAATACAGAATGGGCAATGAAAAACTGGCAATTCTAAGATTAAAGCCAACAACTATGAAGTGGAATTCAAACATTTATTTATTTTATAAAACAATAACATGCATAATGCTATTTATTATAATAATATTATTATTCTATTCAGCTTCTTATTTTTAAATGCTCTTTGTCATTAGTACAATATTTGGTCCAATATACATTGGTCTTTGTATTATATTGATTGATACAACTGCTACTGTTTTTTTAATGTTACCTCAATTCATACATACTTCTAAATTTATTAATGTACACTTAAGACTTTAGACTGCACTGAGAAATCTAAAGAAAAAAATGTTTCCTCCTTTAGAAAATTACATAGATAGGAAACATTTATTGAAAAATTAATTCTCTCGAAGTACTAATGCTACCCTATTTTGCTGGAACCACTGCTCCTCAAAAACTGCAGTATTGCCGCCAATGAGCTGAAAAAACAGTCTTCTTCACAGATAATTAAAAAAAAGTTTAAGAGAGGAATGGCATTGTATACTTTATTACTTTATTCTATTGATACATAATAATTTATATTTTGTGGTGTTATTTTAATCAAAAAATCATCAGATTCCCAATACCAACCTTACAGGCTTGCCACTGAAAAAGGAGAATGAAATTCCCTGACTTTTCTAGTTTTCCAGGTACATTTAAAAAAAAATTCAATCTAGCCACATGTATGCACTAGCTGAGATGTGGATAAATTAATTATGGTACTACTTGAAAACATAAAAATTTGCCAATTACATACGACTTGCTAAAAAATATTAATTAAAAAACCTTAAATTAAAAATAACCTTATTTTGAATTTCTAAAACATTACTATTAGAACTACAATAAATGGGAGGTGTTTGTTCTCAATAACTTTTAAATTAAGTTTCTGGCAAACAATGAAAACTTTCTATTTAATATTTGCATACTAAACCACCATTCTCTTCAGAAATCAATTGTATCACAAAATTAGTTAAGTATAAATAAATTCCTTTTTTAACTACATGAAAAGAGTATTGTTAGTGCATCTGAAATATTTGCAATCACTGACATTGAAAGACATTTATTATAATGTTGGCACAAATATAATTAGTTAAAAGTATAACTTAAAAATTAATTTTACATGTATGAAAACGTACATTTACAAAAGAAATGAAATACTTACAATACATTTCATCTAAGTAATAAACAAAATCAGAAATGACATTCGTTGATTTTTGAATGCAGTGCATAAACTTTTAAACAGTGGATTTTTTCCCACTATTAATTGTGTAAATATTATAATGTCATGAATGACAAAGTTTTACTATTTTAAAAAGTGTTATAAATAAATTCTGGAATAGAAGTTATTGCTTACAAAATTGTTATGAGAAAGCAGTTATTTATTCTACTAAATAACATATAAGTGCTAAACAAATCACTCCTGTAATATTAGGAGAGTCACTACATTCTGAAATGTAAAAAAAATATTTTTTTTTAAAGTTTTTTGATGGAAAACTTTTAATATAAACATATTTAATACAACTTAAATACTATATTTGACGAGAATTGAAGACAAACAAACAAACAAAAATAAAATAAACTGATACATGGATAAGAAAAGTGTTTCTGATGTTCCTAAGGGGCAGAATATTTAAACAAAACATTAATAGAAAAAATATTAATTAAAGATCTGCAAAACTCGATTTGCTTTTTTAATCCTGGAATTTGCAATTCAAGTGAAGAAATATCTCAGCTACTTTTTTTTTTTTTTTTTTTTTTTTTTTTTAAATGCTAAAATTTTACTCTGTGCTTGTGCTTTCTAATGATTTTTACCTTTACTATCACACAGCTTTTTTTCTTTGAGTGCTTGATGATCTGCAACATGAGCAGATCTGGCATATTAGAAATTATGTTAATATTCATCACACCTCAATTTATTTTAATGACAACACAAAACAGCATGCATTGCTCTTAAAGAATTTTCCTGAAGGTTTTCCACCAACATCATTAACTGAGAAACCACTTTCCACTGTAGTATTCCCATGTCATGAAACTAGAATGAGTTTTACAATACTCCAAAGTTCTTCAAAATCTGAATTATTAATCAAGTTCTTACAAAGTGATCAAGTTGTATTGCAATATTGTTAACAAAAGAGTCTTTCCAAACACCATTTACATCTAAATAATAATTATTTAAACTGCACTTTTGATTTATTTGCAGCTGCAGATTTATCCATTCACTTTCATACAGTATATTCAGTAACTTCCCCATCCTTTCTCAATTTGAGCTTATTATCTAATAAGGTAATGTGTTTAATCAAACTACATTTAAATGGGAATACATTTATAAAATTTAATTTAAACTACATTTAATTTTTTAATTCAAGCTTAATGAAAAAGTTTCTGTATTGAGTTCTGAGTTCTTTTCTTTGGAGGACACATTCCACTTTCAACTAAACATGCAGCAGCAGCAATATTCATATCTACATACACACCTGGTGGTGTATTTAATTATGGCAAAGCACATAGGGCTATCTTGAAATGCCATAATTTTTAATTCAAGCTGAAAAAGTTTCATTGAGTTCTGATTCTTTTCTTGGAGGACACATTCCACTTTCAACCTAAACATGCAGGCGAATATCATATCTACAACACACCTGTGGTGATTTAATTAGGCCAAAGCACATGAGGGCTATCTGCCTAAGGGAAGGGTTGCCTTCGTGGAGGACTTTCTAATGGAAACTGGCTCGTATACACGTTATACATGGGGAAAACACCGAAAACACCCATGCAGCCAGCCCGTTCACAGGATTCGAACCTCTGACCGAACTACCAGTGTTCAGCGACTTTACCGCTCGGCCGCTGGTGGGCACATACACACCTGAAATATTACACCAGCATACTTGCCAACCTATGACACTCAAAAATCAGGAGATTTTTTTTTAAAAAATCGGGAGATTTTTCACAATGTTAAAAAGACTTTTTAAATGAAAAATTAAGTTTTAATTAACTTTAAATAGTAACTAATTCTTAAATGCAAGCAACACAAAAATGCCTTACACATAAAACACATTTTTATTACTTGCATCGTTTAAGAAAACAAAACAAAGCAAACAAAAAAAACTTAATCAGTTTCAGTTTTCGTACAAATGGTATAAACAGTGGCAGATTTTGCTTTCTTTAAGAAAGAAACTTCATAATTTTGTTCATAGCAATTGCCACGTAAGCCTGCATTCACTAATAAAAGTTTTCTAATGTGTCATCACTAATATTAGATCTAAATTTAGTCCTCGTTAATGATGAATTTTTTTAATGATGAATTAACTTTAAATAGTAACTAATTCTTAAATGCAAGCAACACAAAAATACCTACACATAAAACACATTTTTATTACTTGCATCGTTTTACAAAACAAAACAAAACAAAACAAAAACAAAAAAAACTTTAATCAGTTTTCGTACAAATGGTATAAACAGTGGCAGATTTTGCTTTCTTTAAGAAAGAAACTTCATAATTTTGTTCATAGCAATTGCCACGTAAGCCTGCATTCACTAATAGCAGTTTTCTAATGTGTCATCACTAATATTAGATCTAAATTTAGTCCTCGTTTTTGCAACAACACTGAAAATCCTCTCACACTCTGCATTACTATGGGGAACTGTCAAGATGGCCAACATAATTCTAGACAGTTCACTATATTTTAAAATTCCATCAGCATCTTTCAGTTTTCCAATTAAACTCCACTGGGTGTCAATCCTAGCTGATTTTATAACCTCATCCAAGTTTTCTAATTGTAAACTGCTGTTATGCAGCTGTTGGAACCTGTTTCAATTTTTCCTTCCTTTTTAGAACTCCTTTCAAGATAATAATAAATATCAACAATGTGTTCATCCACATTTAATGGTAAAGAAGCTGCCCCTTTTTCAGCTGCTAAATTTAAGAGGTGACAGGTGCACCTCATAATCTGCAAATCTGAATTTGCCTTTCTTAAGATGCCTGCAACACCAGTCTTCAAGCCTACCAATACTGGTGCATTATCGGCCACCAAGTGCTAAGCAATTATCCAGAGGGACTGCATTTTCTTTTAAAGTTTTAATAATTAGCTGTGCTATATTAAAGCCTGTCGAATGTCCTTCTAAAGTGGGGACAGAAAGTAAACTGCAACTCAATTTCTGAAGACTCTGGATTAAAAAAAGAAACAACAATTGGATACAGTTTTGAATTGGTATTATTGCTTCCATCCGTAGAGAGGCAGAACGAAGCTGTTTTTTAATGCAATCAATAACTGAAGATTTATTTTTCAAACCCATTTCTTTAACAATTGCACCTGTTTTGGTCCTTGCACTTGAGTATTTCTTAGCGATTTCACTATCGGGAAACATTTTTCTAAATAAAGCTGCAGCGTGATCCGATGCATTCAGTGGCAGGTTGTGCTCCAGTAAAAAGGCAGAGAACAGACATTCTGCATTAATCACTTTTTGGTCTTTTGTTTCCGAAGAAAAAATTTAATTTTTTTCAAAACAACTCATGTTCCTTGTGTTTTTGTGTACGCACATGTTTGAGAACAACATCTGCCCTTCCACCATGCGAAATCGAAAAAATCGCAACGACAGATGGTACACATCGCAAATTTATTACATTTCCTTGAAGAAATAATGGAAGGAAAGTCAACTGTGTACGATTTTTGAAACGTGCACGAGTATTTCACCTTTCTCGCAGACATAACAAAAGATGATAATTTCTAAAACTATTTCCGAAGGCACGTGTACTCACACAACTCAGGACAAAAATGAACGAAATAACGAAAGAACATCCAAATAACGGCCAAAACGGCCTTGAGCTTGCTTGCTTTGTGCTCATTGGCTAATATATGCCAGATGACATGCAGTGGAGCTCGATGCCCATTG